CCATGGCAGACGGGCCTTACCTCAGGCATGTCAGTTTTATTGACAGAATGTGTGTGTGTGTCAGTTCCCCAAAGCTGGGTGGTTCTTAAGAGCAGGGACAGAATGTTCTGCTTTCTCTGCACGGACTCAGAGTTTCGTGTCTAGTGGGAATTAATTAATTAGAACATTTATCTAGGTGCTGTAAATATAAAAAGGTATAAGGCGTGGTCTTGTCCTTCCAGAGCTCAGGAGCCAGCAGGGGGGAAGGGGGGCAGACCAAGGACTAAGGGCTGTGCACCCTCGGGTGCTGTGTAGCTGAGATGGCACATCACCCTCTGTCCCCCACCACCCTGCCCTGTCAGAGCCATCAGAGCAGGAAAGGCCTGCAGGAGACCCTGTCTAGGGCTGAACACTCGCAGGCCCTCAGGGGTCATGCTGGCAGCTGAAATGAGCCACGTCTGAGATGGCACATCACCCTCTGTCCCCCACCACCCTGCCCTGTCAGAGCCATCAGAGCAGGAGGGGCCTGCAGGAGACCCTGTCTAGGGCTGAACACTCGCAGGCCCTCAGGGGTCATGCTGGCAGCTGAAATGAGCCACGTGGGCTAGTGTAGGCTGAACAGCAGTGGCAACAGGTGAGTGACCAGGGACCAGCACTCCACTCCAGTGTCAGGGTGTAGCTGGGAGAGGCGGAGACTGGAGAGGGTCAGCCCTGTCTGGGGTGGTGGGGTGGTGCACCTGAGTCCCAGCCAAGGGGCCAAATGGTCATTTAGTCCTGATGCTGCCATTCTCCTGAACGTTATTCTCCTTGAATAAGCATTCAAGAGAAGCTGCACATCCTTGCAGAAATGACCTGACTTCTAAAATGCCAACGCTAATAGAAACAATCAAAGAACAATGTGGATCATCATCTACTGTCACATACAACATGGCTGTGGGCTGAATGCTGCCCTTGGGCTGCCAAGATCCTGTGGGGAAACTGAGGTAAGCAGGCAGTAATTGCTTGCGTGGCCGTGTCTGCCCCCATGGTCAGCTTTTCCAAATTGTGAGGGGGTCTCTGCTGCCTCTGTAGACCCTGCACTTGGCCCACAGGAGGACTTGTTAAGAGTCTGTGGTCAGGGGACAGGGCTTGGGAATGACCCTGACCTTTCTTTGGAGGAAGGTTTACCTGCTGGGGGAAGATGCCAACACCTTTCCTGGAAACAAAGAGCTTAGTGATTTGAGGTGAATTTTGAGAGGCTGAGGCAGGACCCCCCCCCGGCCCCCCCAGGCAGTAGCTGAGGGTTGTGGGGTTGGAATCGACTGGACAGAATCCCACTTCTGCCGTTCACTAGCTCCAGGACTCTGGGCAAACTGCTTAACTTCTCTGAGCCTCGGTTTTCTCATGTATACAGTAAGCATGATAATCCCTACCTGAGAGGGAAGTCATGAGGCCTCTATGAATTACTATGTGTGGAGTGCTGGGTACTGTGCCTGGCATAAGCTATAGCGATTACCGAGAGCTTACTATGATTATTAATAGTATTGTTTATAATGTGAATGGGGAGAGAGACGGCCAGTCATCCTGATTGCCGAAGTGCAGTGGTGTGTGAATGTGATAAACAGTTATCTTCCTTGGGCCAAGAGCAGGGCTCGGGATCCAGACTGAGGGGGACAGGGGAGCAGCGACCCACCCTTGGTGTTCAGGCTTCCAACAGCCGATGTGGGGTGAAGGGGAGGGTGGGATCTGAGCCACAGGTGTGGTTATCACTTGGCCTGCCTGATGGCCCAGGCTCTAGGCTGCCACTCTCTGGAGGTTCACACCAGCCCCTGATCTGGTGGGGAGGACACCTGAAGAGGAAAAACTGAGCTTCTGACCCACTGTTGATCAGACTTGGTAAAGACTTTCCCTCTCTCTCCAAAGAGGATCCTCCCAACTCACAGCCTAGTGCACACCTGTGTGCTCAGCTGGTCCCGGGGCTGGACGCTGCTGGCAGGAGAGGGCCTCTGCCTATTGTACAGCGAGGCTTTCTGGAATCTGGGCCAAGAGACCAAACTCCCTGTAGGGCCAGTGTTTTTCCACAATGACCTGGGTACTAATAAAAACAATCCCATTAGTCCCCAGGGCCCCTAATGTGTATTTTAATTAGATTGATAATCATGAATAATGACAGTGTCTATCATCATCGTCATCATCATTGTGCTTTGTATTTATGGGGTGTGGCAGGCTCTCATCTGGAGGAGTCTCTTAGCTCTGCAGACATTCCCAGGAGGAAGGTGGCCAGCGTGCCTCTCCCTCCTCTCCAGGTGAGGCTCAGAGGCACCGAGGGGCTGGCCCAGGCTCCAGCTGCACTTCGGGAAGAGGAAAACCCTAGCCACCATCGCTTGCTGCAGCAGCCTCTCTTGTCCCCAGCCTTGCCTGGGCTAATGCATCTGATACCCTTAAGCATCATGGTTAAGAACTCAGCTCAAGGAGCCAGAGAGTCTGGGTTTGAGTCTAAGCTCTGCTATGTGACCTGGGTACACCTCTCTGTGCCTACCTCATGGGATTGTTATGAGGATTAAATGAGTTAACACATGGATCGTGCTTGAAACAGTGCCTGGCATGAAGGAAAAGCTCAATAAATGCTAGTTTTTATCAACATTTAGTATTACGAATTCACTGGTACTATTAGGTTGGACCATATGAAATTGCTAACTTTCACCCATTTTTGACCTACAAAAATGGCAATCTCACATGGATCAGTGGTTCTTTTTTTTTTTTTTTCCTTTTTGTCTTTTTTTGTGACCAGCAACGGATCGCAACCCTCAGTGTTGCGCCCGCACCTCGCTCAGCCAGTGAGCGGCCGGTCTGTATGTGGGATCCGAACCCTCGGC